CCCAATCTTTCTTTTTTAGAGCTAATGTGAGAAACAACAACAACAACAACAACCTCATGCTCTCCGGCCCATGATGGTGACCCTAGTCTCAGTTAACAACATATTCGCCTGATTGAGAGCGAAGTATCTGATTGAGAGCGAGAGCCAAAAAAATTGAAATTTCGGGTCCAGACGCCTCTTGCCATTTCTTGGCAAGTAGGGGACGGGCTATTCCAAGAAGCGGTGCAAATTGAAGGTCTCATCAGCAGCTTCGCGAGCATATGCGTGTCATCGTCATCGGATGCTGCAGCGAGGAGCTAGACAAGTTGCTAGATTTGCCCAGATTGGCTATTTCTGCTCAAACTGTTTCAGGGCGGTANACCTCGTATAAGCGCGCAGAAGGAATGGAGGACTCCGGAATATCTGTCATTGATTTCTATTGACTTGCGGGCCCCTCGGGGCAATTTGATTTGAGTGTGTGTACCTTTTTAGGGTAGTAAGTCAACCTGCGACGACGGGAATCGACCACATCGAGTGTTGGATCAGTACGGACATACGAAGGTACTGGGTAGAGTAAGATCGGAATGGTTATTGATGTGATGACAACAACAACAACAACATGCAACAAATGATGATGTAGATGGATAAATAAATACACTCTGTCTATATTTATGGTCCGCGCTGCCTAAAAAAAACATGGGTGGGATAGCTTAACCTTCTGCCGACACACAGGCGAGAGAGGCGACCATACTCATTGCATTTAGCACACACCCACATGTCAGTGATGACACCCCAACCACGCCTCTATCGGCGGCCCCGTCAGGAGGCAATGATGAGATAATGTTCTCCCGTGCCCTTCTCACATTGAACGACATGCCATTATACAACAAGGTAAATTTGTTCTCCCGCGCCGCACATGCCCCCATACATCACAAACAAAAAATATGTTGATGACGAGACGAAACTATACACAACCCAAGACGCGCTTGCTCTGCAACCACATAAGGGTGCTATAATAAAACACCCGACAAACCGAGTTCCCCTAAATCTTCCGTCCACAACTTCTCAACATAACATACATACATACATACATACAGATAGATACACAAGATGGCTACCAAACTGCCTTGTTGAGCCTGTTACCCACAGGGGAGTTATCGTTGTGTGCTGTCTGGGAAACCGTAGACATTCAGGTAGCCTTTCGCTCACGCTATGGATTCATTGCTAATCTATCTTAGACGTATGCATAATTCTATAGATAGAGATGGATTTGTTGTGTGATATTAAGAAAAGAAAAAACATGATGGAAAGAAAAAACCTCTCTTGGTTTTCGGAGCTAGCCGGCATTTCGGATCCAGCCGTTGTGCGATACTAATCATCTCCGCTAGGACTTGAGGAGGACGGACTGTAAAGCTGTAGAGTACACTGCATCGTATCTGCTCCTTGCTGCTGCTCTCGGCTGACCCAGGACTCCAAAAAATCCCCACAGGTACGAACAAACTCTTTATGTGTGGTCGGTCGAAGATGTACTGGTCTCTGTACAAGCCAACAAGCCACCATGCACAACACACTACTACTGCTGCCCTTCACCTGTCGCCGTCCTTCCACGTCTACCTGTCCTTGGCACATGCTGCCACTCGATGCGACAACATCAGGGAACATCACGGACACAGGGAGTACTTTCCGTACCCACGTACACCGTCAAAATGTCAGAACAACTAAATCTCATTCCTCCTGTCGTGCCAAACATAAATGATGTATTATGCACGAAATGATCAACTCTTCTTTACATATGGTCTGTGCTGCCCACTGAGGGGAGAGATATAACCATACTCCCTGCCTACACACGGGCGAGAGAGATGACCAACCCATTACATTTGAACACACGAACACCCACATATCGGTGATGGAACCTCAACCACACGCCTTACCTACGACCGACCACGTCAGGAGGCAATGATGAAAGAATGTTCTCCCGTGCCCTTCGCACATTTATGGGCATGAAATTACACAAAACTGGGAGACCACTCCCGTGTGCCGCACAATTTGACACAGATGCATGCATATGCATACCAAACTCAATTACTTACCAAATCATATTCCTCGCGTTAAATGCATACCAAACTGGAAATACACGTGTAAAATGGATGGAGATCCACAACCAACAGGGTGCCACACATAAAACACCCAACTAACTAACAGCCCAACACTTTTCGTCTACACCTTCCCAACATAACATATATAAGACACACAACACAGCTACCAAACTGTCTTGTTGAGCCTGTTATCCGCAGGGGAGATGTCCATATATGCTGTCTGGGAAATCGTGGACACACAACAGGTAGTTTTCTTTGACGCTATGATTCCATTGCTAATCTGTCTTTGACTCTTTTCTCTGACGGAAATGGACTCGTTGTGTTGTATTTGGAAAAATAAAAAAAAAAGAACAAGTATCGCACCGACCGTTCGTTCGAGAAAAGAGCCCTCCGAAACCGATCAAAAAAAAAAAAAACGAACATAAAGGAGGACGCTTCCCACACCCGCCTTAAAAATGAAAGGGCAACGTACCAGCACCAGGCACCACGCACCAGGGCATGGGAGTGACGAAGCAAACAATACTAAGAGGCGGCAGATGGGCAGACAGCAAGACGTACAAAAACAAAAGCAACAGCAAAGGCGAGATCACGGTACCCAACACAGCAGAGAAGGGAGGGAGGTCATGAAAAAAAGAAATACAGCACAGAGGCCGGAGGCAATACAAAGGACAAACATAAAGGAGTATAGCATACATTGTTCGTGAGGTGGATTATGCCATCCTTCCGAAGGCTACTGTGGTGATACTCATGTGTGGTTTTGAGCTAGGTGCAATTGCGCAAGTAGTGGCTGTTACTCGTTCTTGGATCTTCGGGGTATCTCCGACCATATCTTTGACAAGTTGTCACGTGTTCCGCTGTCGCGTGTTCCGAGTTCCGAATGCGTCTTTACTATTATTTACTATAATACGAGGAATTTCTTGCGGCTGTTGCACGAGTGCCTCGATGTTTGTGATGCATCCTGGTGCTCACTCTCTGCCGTGGGTTGTGTCCACGAAGGCAACCAGTCAAACGTCTTAACCATCTCTCCACGTTTGTCTAACTCCAGCAGCACTAGGCTTGGGGCCAATCAACATACATCAGGGAGAGAAACAGGGCGCAACAACATCAGCCGGGTACATAGTTCGCCACAAATGCTGCCTCGGTCGCCCTACTCGCTTCTACAGCAGTGCCCAGTCGCCGGTTCTTNGCCGTGGGTTGTGTCCACGAAGGCAACCAGTCAAACGTCTTAACCATCTCTCCACGTTTGTCTAACTCCAGCAGCACTAGGCTTGGGGCCAATCAACATACATCAGGGAGAGAAACAGGGCGCAACAACATCAGCCGGGTACATAGTTCGCCACAAG